AGGAAGGGACAAGGGGGAACGAGGCGGATGGAGCACGAGAGAGAGAGAGAGAGAAAGAGTAGCAGAATGGGGGCTCGGAGCAGAAAACACGTAGCAGAACCAGACGGGCAGATCGGGCGGATAGACCCTAGCAGGCGGGTCGGGAAGGCGGGCCCAGGCGGCCAGGTCGATTAGGCGGGATGCTGAAGCCTGCGTCCTGCATGAATCGCCAAGAAGTCTAGAGCGATTGCACGATTCCGGAATAAATCATGAGGAAATCCACAGCGAGAGCGAGATTCCTGAGTGTCGAGGGCACGGCGTTTGAAAAAACTGCGAGGAAATACGACGCGAGAACGTGATTCCTGCATAGAGTGTGAAAAAGTCCCGCGAGAGAGCGCGATTTGGGAATACTCTGTGAAGAAATATGATTATATCAGGCGGCAACCGTTGTTGTTGTTGTAGTCCAGGGCTCAACAACGCAGTTTGAGGAGGAATACTTTCCCTTGAATTGTTTGTTATATATATATATATACAACACAAAACGGGCGCGAGCCCCGGGAGGAGCACTTGATTGGAACAAAAACACGTCTGGTACAAGAGGGGGAGCAACAAACATTATTATTCAGCAGTGAGACTGCAACAACAACAACAAAAAAAAAAACGACAACAAGAGCGACAACAACGACAACAACATCACCAATAACAACATGAACAACAGCAGCAGCAGCAACAACAACAACAGCAAAAACAGCAACAGCAACACATCCTCCCGCCGTGATGTCTTGTCACGGCGCGAGGGGGTCTACGTTCCGGGGCCCCCCGATCCCCCCATGGCGATGGCGGACGGGCGCCCTCCTGTCCGAATGCTTGGCTTCCGGGCCACAGCTCGAGTCTCCGGCGGCCGTTCGGGGCGATCCGGGCACCCCCGGAATGCTCTCAGGAGGAGGAGGAGGAAGAGGAGGAAAAGGAGGAGGAGCAGGAGGAGGAGGAGGAGGAGCTGGAACACAGGCCCCGAGGCAGGAAAACCGCCAGGAACCGACGGAAAACGTCCGAAATCCGGGAACCCCCACCGACTCACCACACTGTGTGGTCGCCACACCTTCGGTGGCAACTCATGGGAGCCTCACATACTATCTTGCCGGCCCTTGCGAATCGACGCTGGTCGACGCTAAATCGACGCGAACCGACGCTAATCGACGCTATCCCACCGATTACCAGACGCTAATCGACGTCGCTATGCACTCTAAAGACGGAATTGCGAAGGTATACAAGGCTCCCATAGTTTATTACCGAACACGCCGCTCGCAGTCTGGCCAGACGTGCGAGCCAGCCTGGCTGGCCCCGGCACCTCCGACGAGGAGCACGTGTAGGCCACGTAGATCACCGGTCAGCCAACCAGCAAAACATGATAATAAGCGTCGCTCCGCTTCGAATGCAGAGTCCCTGGAGGCCCTGACGACTTCCCCTATAGAGGGCCCCTGCTACATCCAGAACCGTTTGTTCGACGGTCCTGGCATCCATCGGGGGCGTCCACGGGGGGGGCGTCCAACAGGGGGTTGCGCAAAGCATGGTCGGAGGCATGTGCGCGGACGAGGGGGGGGACCAGGGGACGCATTGGCACAAGCAGCGGGGCCACGAAATCCGAGGAGACACCATGGCCGCGGCCATGGGATCCCCCCCCTGGCTAGCCATTACCCCCATCTTGGTCGCCCCCGCGTCCAGAGACGGCTTCCCTTGAGCAGGGACCGACCGTCCCGGCTTTCCTGTAGTCCTACCACGAAATTCCCTACCTAGGCTCTGCCTAGAAGGGTTCTTCCTCTCTACCTTAAAGGGGCCGGGCAGTGTAGAACGCCCCGGGCGGTTCCCCCGGCAACCGCCCCGCGGTTCCACCAGTTACGTCCCCTTAGCTTAGCGTTGCTTATCTCATATTAGCTTAGCTTATTTCATCTTAGCTTAGCTTAGCTTCACCTTAGCTCAGGCTTATCTTAGCTTAGCTTACCTCCATCGTATCTTCGCTGAGCTTTAGCATAGCAGAGTACAGCATAGCATATAATAGCGTAGCATAGCATAGCGCAGCACAGCATAGCATAGCATAGCGCAGCACAGCACAGCACAGCACAGCATAGCACAGCGCAGCATAGCGCAGCATAGCATAGCATAGCATAGCATAGCATAGCATAGCATAGCATAGCGCAGCTTAGCATAGCATAGTTTAGAATAGCACAGCGCAGCATGATATAGCGTAGCGTAGCGTAGCGTAGCATAGCATAGCATAGCTTAGCGCAGCATAGCATAGCATAGCATAGCATAGCATAGCATAGCATAGCGCAGCATAGCATGGCATAGCATGGCATAGCATAGCATAGCAACTAATGCTGCTTTCCTAGGGGCTCCAACTTCTAGGTAGGGTTGCACTGGGGTAATTGTCTTAGAACCCAAGAACTGTTCAAATAACGAAAACTTATCTTAGAACATTAGCCCGATGCGTTAAAACCAGACGGTCGCAACCGGAGGTGCTCTAAGAACATCTCGTGCAAACCACAAAAGGCTCTTGGAGCACCCTGGGTAGACCTATCGGCGAGCCAAGACGCTTCGCCACTGCTTGACTCCCCGGTTCCTCCACCGCCATGGCGGGCGCGTGCCCGCCAGCAGGGGCATCCCGGGCGCTCTGCCCGCGGGCCCCCGCGCCCGCCGCCCCGCCCGCGGCCTCGCAGGCGGCCGCGCGCTCGCGGCGCCAAGGCCGTGCAGCGCAGTGCGGGCCGTGCCGCGCGCCGGGGCACGTGCGTGGCCCTGCCTGCGAGAGCACGGGCCCGGGCACGTCAGAGGCCTCCGGCAGGGGCGCCGGAGAAGACTGAGCAGGGACCGGCCGTCCCGGCATTGCCACAGGCCTGCCACGAGATGTTCTCAGAACCCAGGCATGTTCTGAGAACAACACCAGCGTTCTTAAAAAAGGGACCCGATGTGTTAAAGCAATACGGTCCCAGCCAGTAATATTCTAAGCACATTTCGTGGAGACCAGATATGTTCTTAGAACATTGCTTAGTAGGCCTATAGGCACGCCAGGACGCTCCGCCACTGCTTGAGAAAAGCGGGCCTTACGCGAGATGGCGTAGCGGCCTTACGCGGCATCTTGCGCGGGCCGCCAGCGCGGCACGCCACATCGGAAAGGAGAGCGCTTCGGCACGACCTCGCGCGGGCAGCTTGTGCGCCGATGTCAGTGGAGACGACCCCGTCTTCTTCCGTCGCTCAAATGGGGTCCCAGCTGGTGGGGTCGAAGGATCGTGCCGCATCGCCGATACATCGGCGAGGCAACGGCGACGTCGGCGATGCATCGGCGACGCCGGCGTGGAGAAAGCAGGCGGGCAGTGGGCAGTGCGCCGCGGCCCGTGCCTGACCCTGCCTGCAGAGAGCACGGGCCAAGACGCGCTCACGTCGTGACAATCACCACGACGGGAGGTCTCGACCGCTTTCGTCGGTCTTCGGCGCTTCTCCAGCCTCGCGGTGCCTTCTGGCGGCTGCGCCTCGCCGAGGGCGCTCTGGGGGTGCCCGGATGGTACCGAACGGCCGTTGGAGACCCGACGTCTAGCCCCAAAACCATCGTCGTCGCCGTCGTCGTCGTCGTCGTGACAAAAGTCACGACGGGGGATCTTCGGCCGCTGTCGGTCTCCAGGGGCCCGCGCCAGGCCCTGGGACCGTCGAGCAAGCAGGGTGCAGAGCCGGCCCCGGGGAGATGGTCGGGGCGGCTTGGGGACCCCGTGCTGGAAAAGGCAGGGCCTTGCCATCGCCCTGACGTCCATGCCCCGTGCGCGCTTCGGTTTCGCGAGTATGTTTTCCCCTTCCGCCAGGTGAGCCAAGATGCGCCTGGATGGTCCAGAGCTTCTGGCGCTGACCTGGCCGAGAAACGTGCACACGTCCGAGCGAGGCCAGGCGACGTTGCAGGTCTGGGGAGCCCTGCCTCGCGGGGCCTCTCGACCCGCTCGCCGCCCGGCCGCGGGCCTCGACCCGCATCGGCATCGGGCCGGCTGCCCTGCAGGGAAGAACACACGCACCAGCACACCGTCCAAAAACATCGATCCTCGCACGTAGACCGACAACGACGACAACGACGACGACGACGACGACGACGGCGGCGGCGGCGGCGGCGGAGGCGGCGGCGGCGGCGGTTGCAGCCGCGGCGGCGACACGGTGCTGGCGGCGGCTCGATTCGAGCAAGCTCAAACATCGAACAGGAGAGGCGCCTCGCCCCGCACCTTTCCCTCCTCCTGCCGATGGTCCTCAGAACGTGTGTTAGCGCCGACGTGTGCTGGTCCACAAAAGCCCTTCAATGCGACGAGGGTGGTGTAACGATGGGTGGCGCAGGCCAAACGAGGTAGACACACATGAGGCTAACGCACAACCTGAGCATCATCGATCCTGCTGGGGTCTACGGGAGGTCATCCTCTGGATGGAACGGTCGAGATCCGCCGCCTGGTGGCGAAGAATCGGGATTACCGTGCAAAGGAACGTCGAGAACTCATGCGCTTCGTTCACACCGCGCGCGTGTCCCGCTATCACGAAGAGCCCGATGACCCAAAATGACGCCCCCACCTCCGACGGCGGCACCCGCGGGATTCCCTGGCAGCCGAGGTGTCGGGAACGAGGTTCGGGCTGCAACCATTCGGCAAGTCTGCCTCTCCCCCGTGGTGGTCGTGGGGTGGGGGTGTCATGTCGGGTTGCGAAGGCCTGCCGAACCCTCGGGAGCGCGCGTGACAGTGAGGCCAGCTCGCTGGGCTGACTCATGATCAAACAACCGTTGAGAGTTCGCGTGGCAATGGAAGCAATGCACGCTTAAAGGCTGGCCACACGAGAAACCATCTGCTGATTCACACTGTGATGCGAGGGGCCTCGATGGCCGTTCAGGGAGGCGTCCTGGGAGATGCGGTCGAACGGCGAACGGATTCTTACTTACAGGCCTTCCGATGCAAGCGCCTTATTCCACTGCTCGTGCGAGGGGTGAAAAGATAAGATCGCGGGGAGGTGGCCTAAAGTCGAACTGATCTTGCAGTAGTGTCTCCACCTCCGACCGGAGCGAGCGGCCGTCCGCACGGTCGGGGTTGAGGCCGAGGTGCCAAAGCAACGTGTTGTACTTTGTGTTGTCCCTGATCTGCCACAAGAAAACCCCGTCGATGAACCTGGCCGACTCTGCAAGTTGGCTGGGCGAACATGCCTCCACTACTCCAGTCGACACTTATGAAGACAAGCCCCTCCTTTCTCCGTCTGAGCTCACTCGGCCATTTTGGCGAATTCGGCCGCTCAACAGGCAATGCAATTTCAACATCAACAAGCCCAACAGGGCCGTTGAGTTTGAAGGGGGCTGGGAGGCCCAGCCAGCAGCTTCGCCTTAGGCGAAGCCGAACTCCAGCTCTGTTGTACCGTAGTAACGATAATCCCAGTAGGAGAGGATGTGTCATCTTAAGCAATAGGAAGATCCTTTTGGTCTCGATAGCGACTGTGTGCCTCGCAGTGAAGCACAATCATATTTGGGCGGCCGGCCGCTTGAGCCGACGCGGCCACGGGCGCACGCTCGCTTCCACTCCTTATGTCCCTCAGCTCGCTTTAGAGCCGGGGGGGGAGGGAGACGAAGCGTGAGCCCGTCGCCCCTCTACAGCAGGCACAGCAGCTAATGTACACAAGGACAGAAGAGGGAGCGGGCCAAAGGGAAGGTGGACCCGCTCGCAAGTTGCCTCGCTTGTACACTTCTGTGCTTAACATTCGCATCAGGCGGCGTCAGAACTTGATGTCTGGCCGGCCCGTCCTGGGGTATATCTCGTCAGGTCATGCTTGAAGGCCTGTATATCTCCCATGACTTGTAGGAGCATGTCTCTGTCGATGCTCCCCTTGGTGTGACCATCCGCAGTCATATCGCGGGTGTCGCACCACTGGATGCTGTGCACGATTCCGCGCTCCATCATCTGTCGTATCCAACTGATGTGTCCTAAAAGGGTATACTCAGTTGGCTTCTTCAAGTCTTTGCTTGACAAGGACTAAAACAACAGTCTCAGCATCCATGATCAAGGTGACCTTGATGCTCAGGCCACCCAACTCAAGTATATATTTCAACTGAGTGGGCGTGAGCGGCCCTGCGTGGAGCTCGTGCAGAGTCACAATCGTGGGATAACAGTCCTCCAAATTATGGGCCGCTGCTAGTGTGTCTGCTGAATTTTTCGAGCGGGCCTGCAAGCGATGAGACTTGCAGTGCGCCTCAATCATGCGAACGACAGGCTTACCGGAAGGCGTGTTTCCGCGTCGCAGCAGGTTTGCCCCGCGAATACCACGGCCTTTGACGTCGTCATCGGCGTCTCCACTCAGGCGTCGGTATCCTGAGTCGCTATGCAGGTCGACCTCGCCCGTGCGATTCATCGCCTGGTAGACGACCTTTTTTGGGCAGGCCTCTAGCTTCCTGGTGATCGCGCTCAGTCGTCGCACTTGGATGTTGGTCGGTTCTTGGACACGCTGTAGAGAAACAACATACACCATCAACCACACCTGGGTGCGTAATGCATACGCCAGCGCACCCCTGAGGCTGACGAACATGTCTGCAACCATCTTGGTTGCCTGAGCGTCAGCGTCGGCGCCGGTCAGTTCAGGATGTTGTATAGGACTGATATGTTTGATATATTCATCTTGGTCCAACGTGACATTGCCGTCCTCATCTTTGGTGTATCTCACGGAGCAGTTGGTGTACGTGTGCTCGTTGAATTTACACTTACCAAAAGTATCTTCTACGCGCTTGACATATTTCTCAATGGTGTCCTCAGTACCGGCCATATCGATGTCATCAACATGCTTGGCCGTGAGCAAGTCGTTGCTCGTCTCGAACTCCTCGTCGTAGGACGCGGGTCGGAGACCGAGGCCTCTGGTGGTTCTTTTGGGCTTTACTACGAAAGCCCGCGGTGCGTCTTTGGTGCCTGTGCCTGGTTTCAAGCACTGTAGGCAGTGCTTTGACTCATCGTAGTTCTCGAATCCTGGGGGGGTTCGGAGCACTGCGGCCGATCCAGGCGGCAGAGTAAAACACACCACACGTTCCTTTTCACTTGTCGCCTCAGCAAGTTCCTGATAGGTCAGTCCCTTCAGGAAGCCCATGTTGATGTCGAGGGAAGCAACGATCCATTACTTATTGCACGCTGCCGTGCTAGCGAGTAGCCTCTGGATTGACCGTCGCGCTGTTCTGGGAAATGCCTCTACGCCGAAGGCTTCAAGGTCCATGAACGCTCGGAGAACCAGGCGTAGTCTGATGGCACGTTCCATCTCGCCCATCTCGTTCTTCACGAACTTCCATTGACACGCGTATCTCGAAGTCGTGATGTTCGACGCTTTAGCTATATCTTGCATCTCAGAGCACTTGTTGTCGAACCATGCCTTGAATTCAGTGTGGAGGGCCTTCGATACATTATCGGGATTCGCCTCCACGTCAGCTTTCGCGAGGAGGTCGTCTTCCTTGACGACCACAGCTCGCTTTGCAGCGGCGGTCACGTACTCGCAGAGTGGTCACCCAGTCGGCATCTAGTATAATATGCTGTGGTTCAGGCAGGACTACCTTTGACATTTCTGCCGTAAAGCAGAGTTCAACGTACCGACCATTTTCATCTGAGTCCAGTCTGTAGTTGTCGTCTTCGACCATGGTGAACACTGGGGCGTAGTGCGTCTCCTCGGCGTCGGAGTCGCAAGTGCACCCCCACTTCGGCAGGTGTCCCCGCTGCTCACCAGCTACAGTGATCAGCGCACATTTGATCTGGAACCATATGTGTATGTATGGCGAAGAGGTTCTCTGCTGGAGTTGCCTCCAGCAGTTCCTGTTCCTCTTGTAGTTCTGCATGCTACTCTTCCATAACATGCGACTCGGGATCAGCCTCTGGTTCGTCGTCAATCGTAGAGAGCCGCCCATCATCATGTGGTGGTTCGGCCTCTGAGGCTTCTCTTGTGGTTCCCTCCGGTGTCGGTGTATCTGCCAATTCCTCCGATCTTGACATGCCCTGATCAAAACCTGCTTGAGGATTTGTGGACTTCAGGCATTGAATAATTCTCGGATGTGCTGATCCAGCTATATCGTGTATATTCAGAGCAGTACCTGCTGCTTCATAAAAATGGAGTCCTGGATTCACGTCGTTGTCGTAGTGGACCAGTGTGTAGCTGTCGGCATAAGTAACCAGAGGCAGCTTATGAATACACTTGGCTAGCCTGGCTGAAACTACATTCTCAATACGGACGAAGTTTCTGATACGGTACTGTAGCGCTAAACGTACCTTGGGAGATAGACGGCTTGCAGCCGTCATCTGAAGCGCCCCCTCCATGGTCGGCACATAGCCAAACGTCAGAGAAGGACTCCCCGCAGATAGGCTGGCTACGACTGTCAACACTGTACGTAGCGCAGTGTTGTCGGAGCCGATGTCTCGGGCTATCAGAGCTCCAATTATAATGAACGTCTTGCATCGCCGTACTGTACTTGAACATCTTCATTGCCTACTCGGATGATGACCTGACCCCTCTCGGGATCATTCTTTACCACTGGGAACGGGCCATTCCAGCCTCCCCAATCATCCTTCGCGGTCGTGGGGCGATGATAATCAACCAAGCCCCCATTCATCATCATAGCGCTGACCAGTAATAGTCGTTTTCGTGCGTAAGGCACGATTGGTCTTAGCTACTGCTGTGGCCTGTGCGATAGCTTCTATACATGCCCTGCGTATCGTCTGCTGACGAGAATGGTCCGACGTTTCCGTCGGCTGCTCGTGGTCCAGGACGGGTAGGTCAGGGGGCATTGCTGGTTGCCGTCCAAACAGAGCGCTAGATGGTGGCGCCTCGTTATAAAAAGGTGAACGCGTTGGCGGCAAACAGGGCCTCGTGCAGTAGTAGGGCGAACACAAGAGGTTTATCCAGCCTGCTGAGTTCAGCTTCCATGACGTGAAGTAGATGGCGAAGGATGCCATTCCTGGCCTCGATCATTGTAGCGTGCTGTCCACGCGCACGCATCCTAAGTTCAGTGCCTTTGCCCTTGAGAACTGCTCTCGCAGCGTCGTTGTTAAAGGGCACCCTCTCCGTCAGAGTAGAGTACCTTAGCAGGTTCAAACTGCACCCAGCACTGATGATATGCATCCATGATACTTGTCATAGTCTTGTCTGGCATCTCAATTCCAGTAGCATGTCGTATACAACGACAGATGATATGAAGGATTTTGTGTTCTTATTTGTAGAGCATCAGATCACATTCCACTTCTTCCTTGAAGTTGCCAGGTAGTGCAGGAGAGGGCATAGCGGCATGCCCGTGCTTGTCCCAAGCTCTGCATTCCCGACATGTGTCGCAGACACCTTTAATCAGGTTGAGTCTGACACTGTCCAGACCGATCTTGCTTAAGATGAATCTCAGATTGGGCTCTTTCGCATGGAACCAGCGCAAGTGTAGCTTCCGCAACTCGCGTGCTACAACGCTGCGCATCGAACCGTGACCAGTCTGATAGTCGTGGTCGCGCAGCAAGGTTACCCGCTGGTGGTGGAGGAGGTGCTTCTCCACATTGTTGTCGACCACGTCTGACTCTAACCTGTGGCAGTCGGAGATGGCCATCCGAACTGCCAGCTCCGCTCGAAGCAGGTTGCCCTGCAGCAGGTTCAGCAGCATGTCTTCCTACAGTAATGTCGCGGCTGCTTGCGCCCGCTGTAGGTCCAGCTCTGGGGCCGGGCCTCGGTGCTCTTAGCCGCGTGAGTGGTGAAGCGGCTGGCGCCTCGGGTGGTGGTGCTGCTAGCTCAGCAGGAGTTGGCGGTGCAGGTCCTGCTGCCGGTTCGGCAGGAACCGGCGGTATCTGTCCATGATTGTCGGGCAGCTTCCAAACCTTGGCAAACTTACATTTGCCAGGTGTCAGTACGTGTCCAGGCCTGTTTTCTTCCCATCGTTCTTCTTACAGCTCGGACATTCCCCACGGTAGTCGCCCTTATCGTACCATCTGCAATGCCTCGGATCTCTATCATGAGAGGGAGAATGCACGTTAACGTTGCCCGCGCATGCGGGGCACCCGAGCCCTCCCGAGGGTGGTCTCGCAATCGAGACATCAAGTTGCCGAGGGAGACTCGGGCCGTCCAAGTCGCATCCCCATCACGTTGGCGACCAGCACGGTGGATGAATAAGGGTGGCCATGGAAAG